GACTGGTGCAGCCACTGGGGAAAACAGTATGGAGTTTCTTCAAAAAATTAAAAATGAAACTGCCTTATGACCCAATGAATCCACTTCTGGGACTATATTTAAAGAAGCCCAAAACACTGATTTGAAAGAATATGTGCACTCCCTATGTTCTCTGCAGTATTATTCATACTGCAGTGAACATAGCCAAGATTTGGAAGCATCCCAAATGCTCATCATATATGAGTGGGTAAAAAAGCTGTGGTACATTTATGCAATGGAACACTACTCAGCCATAAAAGAGGAAAACTTACCTTTTGTGACAGCATGGATGGTCCTGGAGGGTATTATGCTATGTGAAATAAGCCAGGCAGAGAAAGACAAATATGATAGGATTTCACTTATAGTGGAATCTAATAAAAAAAATAAACTAACAAAAAAATAGAAACAGACTCATAGATACAGAGAACAGACTGACAACTGTCAGAAGTGAGGGGGCTGGAGGGCTGGGTAAGTAAGGTGAAGGGATTAAGCAAAAAAAACCCCCAAAAAATCAAAAAAACAAGAAAAAAACAGAGTTTATAGTATGGCGATTACCAGAGGGAAAGGGGGGATGGGGGGGGGGATGTAGGAAAGGGTAAAGGGGGGGATAATGGTGATGGAAGGAGACTTGACTTGGGGTGGTGAACACACGATACAATATACAGATGACGATGATAGAATTGTACATCAGAAACCTATTTAATTCTATTAACCAATGTTACCCCAGTAAATTCAAAATAAAATAAAAATAAAATAAAAATAAAATAAAATAAAATAAAATAAAATAAAATTACATTAAAAGCTGCCAGGGTAGTTTCTTATAAAAAATTAAAGACACTTTTAAATACAACCCAGCAATCACTCTCCTTGGTATTTACCCAAAGGAGTGGAAAGACCAAGTTCATATAAAATCCCACCCACAAATGTTTATAGCAGCTTCATTCATAAATGCAGAAACTTGGAAGCAACCAAAATATCTTTTAGTACATTAATGGATAAATAAAATGTGCAATATTCAGACAAGGAATGCCATTTGTGCTAAAAAGAAATAAACTACCAAGCAAAAAACATACCTGGAGAAATCTTAAAGGCAAAATCATGGAGATAGTAAAAAGATCAGTGGTTTCAAGGGCTTGGGGATGGGAAGGAGAAGAAATAAACATGCAGAAGACAGGATTTTTTAGGGCACAGAAAGTATTTCTGTATGATACTATAAAGATGGATTCATGTCATTGTACACTTGTCAAAATCCATGGAATGTATAACACCAAGTGTGAACTCTAGTGTATATTATGGACATTAGGGGACAAGAATGTGTCAATGTAGCTTCATTGTCTCGTACCACCGTGGTGGCAGATACTGGTAATGGGGGAGGCTATGCATGTTAGGATTCAGTGGGGGATACAAGAACTCTCAACCTAATTTTGCTCTGAACCTAAAATGCTTTAAAAAATGTTCTATTAAATGTAAAAAAAAATTAAGAGTAGCCAGGGTATCCTGAAATCATGTGTTCTTTCTCCATTTGGACAAAATGCTCCTCAAGTAAGCTGCCTAATAGAATTCGCTCAGATTTTGGATGTTTTCCAAGGTAGGAAAACACAGTTAAAAAACTGACAAATTACACTCAATGTTCTTGTAAAGGTGGAAGAACTGAAAACTGATGTGCGAATGCAACGTAGGGGCAGTTGACTTAAGGCACACAAGGGGAACCCCCATTATAATGAACTCAAAGACACACACATTTAACTGGGACTTGTAAGCAATATATACTTAGGTGTTTTATTTTACAATTACTTGTGCTTGATATGTTGTAGCTCTTTGATATTTGTTGACTATGCGAGTGAAAGTAAAAGAATTTAGATTCCCTCAAAGTGATATTATATTGTAGAAAAAATTGTACTCTAAAGGAAAATATGCAGGGGATGTAGTACAGCCTCACAAATCTGATTCTAGTAGGGCTAGAATTGGGCTTTGAGATATTTTGCATCTTCTAAACTGAAGGTAATAGGTAGGCATCAAACTCTGGTCCAAGAGTTTTGATCGACCTCCCTCTAATCTGTGGAAAAGTGGTTTTGACTTCATTTGCAATGCAATTCCTCTTCTACATAAAAATTTGTGCTTTTGACTTTTCCTTTGAACTGGTTATAACTTCTGCTTCATTCTCTCTCATTACATAAATAAAAGTCTTTAGTACATGTTCATTTTTATACTTGTATGAGTCATAATTTTGCCTTTTTTCTGCAAATTGCCTTTCAACAATACCTTTAGACAAACAAGCTAGTAGAAAATGAGGGTTTCTCTAAACCTGACAGCCGACAGAGCAGGTGAGTACATAGCTGGAGTACCAGGAACTGAGTGAAAGAAGGCAGCATTTGCTACCCCCCAAGATGTCTTTGGGATATTGATTCAGAATATTTATAAGAAAAGAAAGACTTCGGAAAAAACCTTCCACCTTCTCTCAAACTGCTTAAAACCATTTAGATAGAGGATCTCCTTCAAGAAGGGAGATATAATAAAAAAACCTATAATTTAATATAAAGTAAATGTGATAGGGAGAAACCTAGCAAGGCTTTTTGATAAAATCCTCTCTGTATGCAACTGTTAAAGACAACCTACCAAACATTTATTTAGCAAACATTTGTTTTTCCATCTCCATGTGATAGAGTCAGGTTAAACCCATCAGGGCAATTCATGGAAATTTGGACTTGAGACTGAGACAGGTAGTTTCTCCGGGCACTCACAACCAGAAGAGATGGAAAGCTAGATCTGGGGGGAAGCCTGTGCACAGCTCCTCACAGCCCTGCCAAGCTCTGTGCCCTGTAATATATGCCTATGTTCTAATAAAAATTCTAAGGTTGTTTAATGTAAAGAGCTTTCAAGGCAGATCGATCTTAGTTCAAAATTTAAACATCAAAGCTATATTAACTATGTGATACTAGGTTGGTTGTTTTGTTACTGGTGAAATGAAGAGAGCGTGGCCCTTCTCTTCTTGAAGGAAAGAATTCAGTCAAGAGACAAACTATAGTGAAATAAGCAAGAATTATTTCTTGCTTATGGAAGCACACTCAGGAGAGTGAGAGCGCCCCCAATCAATTACAGAACTCAGATATTTATGGGCTTTTTTCTTCCTGAACTTCTTCGCTCCTGTCTCTTTAGCTCCCCCATCTAGCTTAGCTATCTATGCATGAGCTATGTGACTGAAACTGGTGACCTATAAGGCTGAACAATGTCCTAAGATTGAATCAGAGATCTGGTGACCACAAGCTCAAGTGTGGCGAAGCCTGTTTCAGCTTAACCCTGTGGAGGTCACGGTCAAAAAACTTCACAGCATAGGTCAAACATCACACACCTTCTGAAACATGTGTTATACTCAAACTGATGGCTTAAACATTATGGGTTAACATTAGTCATGTACAAATGCACAGCTAGTCATGACCTTGAACCTATGCACCTGATATATGTAACAATATTTAAAGAATTGCCTTAGGGCTTGTTGATGTGCAGGAATGCATGAGGATAATCTATCCCCTTTCCCTTCCTTTGCCTGCCCCAGCTCATGCCTAACTAGCTACCTATCCTAATGACCTGACTTCTCTAAAACTCAGTTTCCTCATTTGTTAAAAAGGAAAATGAATACCTACCCTGTGTAATTGCTATGATGATTAAATGAATTAAATCCACAGTGGAAAAGCAAAGTTCTTGGTATATACCATATGGTGCCCACTCAAAAGGTAGAAAAGATTCTCTTTGACACAAGTAGGACAAGGAACTTTATACCACAGGGTGTTAGGACAATTGTTGCATATAAATTAAATGTACAATAGATAATGACTTCATATCAAAAAAGAGAGCTATGATTTCTTTGGGGGAGAAAAGGCTGAAGAAGGGAAGTTTTTATCTTAGTTACTATAAAAACCGTTTTTGTGCTTCTCTCATGGGCATGTAAATTTTAGAAGCCTTTTTTTTTAAAAAAATAGACGTTTTTAGAGCAGTTTTAGGTTTGTAGCAAAATAGAGTGTAAAGTACAGAGAGTCCCCATACACTCCCGGCCTCCACATACACACACAGCCTCCTCCATCAACGAGGATCCCCATCAGAGTGATACATTTGTTACAACTGATAGCCAGCCCGGACACCTCACCAGATGTCCGACGTTCACATTAGGTTTCACCCCTGGCGTGTTACACACATCAGAGCTTACAGCATACAGAATAGTCTCCCTGAGAAGTCCCACTTAGGAAGGCTGTTTTGAAGACAAGCAGATAATAGGTTATTAATGGGCCACACATTGCGATCTGAATGTCTAAGCCTTAACTGAAGACTGGTCTAACAAAGGGTGACACTATTAGGCAGTAGGAGTTGGTGCTCCATAAGTCCTCTCATGAACAATTATTTCCTCCTTCCTTCATTCTTATCTCCCATCCATCCACCCATCCACCCGGCTTTCTCTCTCATCTACTAGTTTTGTTCTTTGGTTTTCCAGCACCAGAGGTTAGGGTTAGGGTTAGGGTTAATGTAATCTTTCAAGTTTCTATGCCTTTAAGATTTCGGTGCTAAAACAGAGGATAGTGATTTTCATCTTGGGTTCATCTTGGTTCTTTTCTTGCTGTATAACTGCAATGCTTTTCCTTAAAATTTAAAATATTATTTATTTAAAATTACAAAAACAATACAAATGTTTTTAGGAAAAGAAAGCAGATAGTCCAGATAAAGTACAGTCCATCGCCGTTCACATTTCCTTCCTCTGAGGTAACCTATATATCAAGATTTTATTGATACAAATGATGGTGTGGAGGAATTTCTTGTGAAAACAGGTTCATAGTAAGTAGTCAGGCTGGTTCTGGTAAGTCATTCTCGATTTAGATTCCTCAAGACTGCCAGGCGCGCATCACCCTGGCAACCAGGGCCACGCCTGCGGGTGCGCAAAGGATTCTGGGGGGGCCCCCAGGAAGGGCGGGGCAGGGCGCACGGAACATCCCCTGCTGGAGGGGATGGGGGGGAAGTCTGAGGCCACACGGTTGAGCAGGCGACGGGTGAAGAGCCAGAGCCTGCGGGAGGGGGGTGCTGCAAGGCCGCGTGGGCATGCAGGCTGGCGCGCTGCACAGCGTCTCCAGGTAGCTGCAGAGGGGAGAGCCTGGCGGGGAACCGGCTTTGGGCGGACATCTCCCCGGCTTCATTACGCCGGAGCCTGAAGGAGGTAGGCGGGGAGGGGAAGAGGTTCGGGCTGCAGGCCCGCGCGGAGCTGTCCACCGCCAGGTGCCGCAGCCTTCGGTGGGCTATCAGCAACGGGAGGAAGGGAGGAAGGGGCATACAATTGTTTAAAAAACGGTTCCTTTCTTTTCGGGCCTTGCTTTTTAGGAAATACGTACTATATAGTTTTAACATCTTAGTTTTTGCACAGATTTTTGTTCTGTTATTTTCAGCTCTTGAATCTATGTAGGAGTTGTAATAACAAATATGTAAACAGCTGTTTTGCCGGATACTTTGCTAATTAAATAAAACGTTCCTTTTTCCACTGAACTCTGCCTCCAAAGTTTTTGCTCTGGCGGGGAGCCTTGGACCCCTGCTGGTTGAGTGCAGTAACACTACAGCGCCACTGCGCTGTTCAGTCCGCTCTGTCCTGTGTCCAAGAGCAGGAAGAACACATTTATCCGTGTGACCATTTTAACTGCAAAGGCCTTGGTGAAATGTAGGGACCTTTCTGATGTGATTGTTAAAGATGAAAAGCTTTGAATTCTATCCCAGATAATCTGTAAATATGAGTAAAAGTATTGTCAGTGGTGGTTACCCGGGATGTACATTAGAATCACTTGGAAAATTTTTTCAAAATACATTTCAGACTTACAGAACAAGATTCTCTCAGGATGGGTCCTGGGCATGGACATTCTAACTGAGCTTGACAGATAAATAATAATTCTGCGCACACAGCCTTAATTTAATCCCATGCTTTTTATCTGATCGCCCTGAGTGATCGTACCCACTCCCTCAGCTTCAGCCTCTGCATGGAGAGCTTCAACTAAGGTAGTCATGGCGCTAACAAAGATGAGAGCTAGAACCCAAGACATTCATGAGGTAGAAATAGTATTTACAAACAGAGGGAGAAGTCCATTGTTCTTATGAAAATTTCAAACTTACATAAAAGTCGAGAGATTACTATTAGCTTGAACAATATAAAACTGCCAGTATTCACCCGTGTTTGACCTACAGAAGGACAATTTCATGATTCAACATAATCTAAAACACTCATATACATATTAACCAGATTCAGTAATTATCAAGATTTTGCCTTATTGGCTTCATCTTTCCCTTTTCTTTTCCTTTTTACTTTTTATTGCTGAGTAATTTTAAAGGAAATCCTAGACCTTAAGTCATTTTACCCATATATACTTGGCATATATCCCTAAAAAAAAAGTTTATACAACTTCATTGTGATTATCACACCTAATTAACAATAATTCCTCTGTACCATCGAATACCCAATACACATTCATACTTCTCTGTCTTTAACAATATCTTTTTACATTTTGATTGATTGAATTGAATTCCTAAACAAGGTGAACACATTGCTTTGGTGGTTGTGGTTCTTAAGCCTCTTTATTCCGGAGCAGTCCTTCCAAAACACCCCTCTTTTATCTCATGCCACTGACTTGAAGAAACTGGGTCATTTATTTACCCTGGGTTATGACAGTCATGGTGTAAGAATGAGCTTTGTGTCCTCTTCCATGATGTTATATAGTCTGGACCTCAGTCTGCCATATTGCCTGTAATCTTGAAGTCACTGTGTCTGTACTTATAGTCAGTATATCATTTCTTGAGTATACAGAGCCTATCCTTTACTGTGCCAAAGCTAGAGCCGGGTGAGTATGGTATCCTGGTTATGAAAGCTGTGTGACCTTGGGTAAGTTACCAAACTTATCTAAGCCTCTGCTTTTTCATTTATAGGATAGGAATGTAACAATAACTTGAAGAGTTCTGTAAAGATAAAATGAGATACTGAATACACAATGCCCAATATTGTGCCTGATACACAGACAGGCAAGCAGTTGCTCAGTGAATATCAGTTCTCACCAATGACAAGCAGTGACTTTAGCTTATATAATGGAAATACTCTTTTCAAAACATTTATAAAGTATCTGAAAAGTTATACTTTTTGACATCAGAGAATATGTACAATAATTTGTAAGATTAAGCAATACCTACAGCAGAAGTGGAGAGTCTGAAGATTTTTGGAGAATAAATCATCTTCAGGAATTTAGCTCTACTGCCAAGGGAGCAGAGTCTCCTCTGGGCCCAAAACATGCTATAGAATAAAAGAAAAACTTTTAAAGAGAGTGCTATTTACATTGCTGTCAGACAGTTAACTGGTAAGTTTATATCAAATATATATATATATATAAAGTTTTGATAGATTTTTCTCTATGATATAATTTTTAAAAAAGATTTTATTTATTTATTTTTAGAGAGGGAAGGGAGGGAGAGAGAGAGAGAAACATCAATGTGTGGTTGCTGGGGGTCATGGCCTGCAACCCAGGCATGTACCCTGACTGGGAATCAAACCTGTGACACTTTGGTTCGCAACCCGCGCTCAATCCACTGAGCTACACCAGCCAGGGCTACTTTTTTCTCTATGATATAATTTCTTATCACTGGAATCAATGTAATCATTCTAATAAAATCCTCATACAAATTTATTCATGTTATTTTAAACCAGACATCTGCAAGGATATTGTTAATTAAAAGTATAGGGCTCCAACTTAGTCAAGAGCATTAAGTAAATGTTTCATTTCTGGTAGCTATAAAATCCAGAATATTTCAGTCTAAAACCTACTCAGACTTGTCTGAATAAGTTACTAGTAAAAGCACAATCTATAACAGTAAAGTTATTAAAAAAAGGTTATTTAGAAAGGATCATATCTGGTCCCTGATAAATATAAATACATGAAGGATTCTTAGGTTATTTTCTCAGATGGTACTTCCCTCAACAATTCCATAACTAGCAAGTCATTTCAGGAGTTGCATAACCAGCATGAATTCTAAGTTACTTCTATAGCTATCAGGATGTCATTATCAATTATGGGGGAGGGAGATCAAAGAAAAATGAAAGTCTGTTATAATGCCATGTGGAAGTGGGAGAACACTCAGCTTTCTAAGGACATTAAACCAAACAGACACTTCTCATGAGCTTTTTGCTCTGCAAATGTTGAATCGGGATGGCATTTCCTGCACCTCTGATCAAATTTTTATAAAAAGAGATCCTAAGAATTCAAAAGAACACTGAAGCTACCAAATGTTAAGGCTACAGAAAGCTTTATATATAAAAATAATATATTGGATGTTTCTTAAAAAGAGGACTATAAAATCCTAACCATCATGTGATTAAAATCTCAGCTTAAATAGGAGTCTCTTAGCCATTCTATATCATATCAGCTTATTTTAATTCTCTGCAAAGCACTTTTTTCGTGTGTTTGTGTGGCTGGCCACTCATTCACGAATTTATAATAGTATAGTTCACTACTGTATTCTCTGGTATATAGTAGGTATTTGATAAGTAAAAGTGTTAAATGACTGAATGAATACATAAAATCACATAAATTAATAATTTGAATGGATATTTGTAAGTCCTGTTAGAAAATATTGTTTCTTTTTGCAAAGTGTTTTTTGCAAAGTGCAAAATTCAAATTATCCCTTGTGTTTTATGCCTTTCAAGTCAACGATCAGGTTTTCTTATATCAAGATATACTGCCCTGGCGGTGTGGCTCAATGGATTGAGTGCCAGCCTGAGAACCAAAGGGTCGCCCAGTTTGGGCACAAGCCTGGGTTGTGGGCCAGGTCCGCAGTAGGGGGCACATGAGAGGCAACCACACATTGATGTTTCTCTCCCTTCACCTCTCTAAAAAAATAAATAAAATCTTTTTTTAAAAACCATGCCTATTCTTGTGTCATTAATTGTTCTAATCAACGGTAAAAATATCAACTGGGTTAGGCAGTAGAGATAGTTTTACGAAAACTTATCAAACAACAGGAGCAATCTTCATTCAGTATCATGGCGTTATTTGATTTAGGACAATTTTTTTTTTCAGCAAATAAACATCCAGTTATTTAAATTCAGCCTAAGTTCTTTGGTATTAAGCAAAGTATAAGCAAAATGTTTTCTTGCAAGTAGAGAAATGAGAGAAACCTCTTTTACTTTCTTGGGATAAAATGGGGGGAACAGGACTAGGAATCAGGATACCTGGCTTCTAATCCTTAATCTATTTAAAAAAAAGAGTGGGGGTCTGCTGTTAGACAAGTCACTGACTCTTGTGGAGCCTCCGTTTTCCCATATTTCAAAACAGATGAATAAATGAATCCTTGGTTTGAAGGTAACCTCAGAAGGTAAGTCCCTGGCTGATCATGCCTGAGCTCAGATGGTAGCTCTTGGGAGATTTCACCCCAGGTGGTGAGCCCTGCTCTCTGGCGGCAAGGCCTCAGTACTGCTAGTCAAGCCATGTCTCCTTCTAGAAACACCATGTTCCTTTGGCTCTTGACATAGTACCACCTTTCATTTTCCTTCTACCTGTCCCCAACCTGCTGCGAAATGATGGAATTCCTCCATATACAGATCTGGGCTCTCTTCTCACTAGGTAATCTCATTGTGGAAGGAATTGTGAGAGTGATGGGTGAAAAAATGACTCCAAAACCTAAGCAGGCTGATAGAGATTCAGAACCTCTGATATTTTTCCTCTGCACTTTAAATAAACACATTTTAAGCAGCACTTTTCTAATGCAATTATCATTCCACATGTATGCTGAATAAGTAACAAATCAATGAATAAATCAATAAATTTGGATGGCCTTGAAAAGTGGGGAGGGGGGATCAAAAAGGCATACAGCTTTAATTCTAAACAATATTTTCACTATGTTTTTTTCTAGTTTTCTCCTTTTTAAGACAATGTTCTGTGAAGAAAACCAGGCAATTGTGAGTCAGGGTAATCTAGAAAACCTGAATATGAGATATTACACATAAGTTACACTCCATATTCAAATATGCGTGGCCAACAGAAAATTTAACCATTCTCATTGGAGTAAGTTGTTTAAAATGAAGATACAGAAATTATGTGTGGCAAATTTAGGGATGACCTGAAGCTGAGAAGGTTGGTAAATTTTGGGGGGCAGAATTAAGAGCTAAAATGTAAGCAAGATAGTCAAAATGAATTGTGAAAAGATGAAAGCTCTGGTCTTAGATCCAAATGATCAATTTATAACCACTCTGTATATGGGAATGAGAGGTAGGGAGAGATTTAGTTAATTTGACATAAATAAGAACATTCAGGTTAACTGAAAGCTCAAGAAAGATTTGATGTGAGGTGACTGCAAAAAAGGTTAGTGCCAAAAGTCTGACCAAAGGAAAAGATCATTTGCATTTCCTGCTCTACCTGTTAGTCCACTGCTAGTCCACTGTTAGTCCACTGCTATAAGGTGCAATGACACAGCAGAGGGCATGTAGGAGGTGAACAAGGTACTGGCTGGTTTAGTGCAATGGGAACAAGACTCAAAGTCGTGTCATTGGAACAAGGGTGGAAAATATTAACTATATTTAGGTGGCACAATACTTAAGAAGACGTAACCCTGGGATTGTTGAATGGGCTGTTCTGTGAAAATGGGGTTCGTGTAATTATAAATTCTTGAGACAAGTGTAGCTGGCTGGTGTGAGTTGTTTTAGCACAATGTGAGATAAAACTTTCTAATAGCTGGTCTGCACCATTGGTGCCTGGTGTGGACGTGAGCAAGCAGCCCCAGTTCTTGCTTCAGGTACTAACTGCATGACCTGGAGGTGGAGGAATTGTTTTGTACTGGGTACGGGGCTCCCCCTTACAGAGTTGCTCGGACTCCAAAAGTGACAGATTGGACTGCTTTTCTCTTTTAACTAAAAACTTTAGATTCACTTACATGGCCGGTTAACAGCCTTTGTTTTCTTTTTATTAAAAATACCATTATGGATAAACTGGAGTCGGTGTTACCCATGCCACGCTGTTTTCAAAATGCCCAAACTGCAAAATCAAGAGCAAAAAGGGCAATCGATAACCGGGGTTCAAAGTCCCCACCCTAGAAGGCCAGTCACCTTGGTGCCATCCCTTTTCCAGAGGAAACTCCGTTAATTCCAGCGCTGCCCTCCTGCAGCCTCCCCGGAGGTCCGCCAGGGCCGGGACCTGGGGTCCGGATCAGGAGGCTGGATCTGGAGCCCCGACCCACGCAAGCTCCAACGCGCTTCCGGCTCAGGAGTGACAGTCCTATTCCTTAAGGAAATCCAGACCGGCTCTTCTTCCCTGCCGCCGGCGCGCGACGCCCTCCTTCCCCGTCTCGCCGCGCAGGACACTGCTAGCCCGGACGCTAGTTTCACTGCACACCGCGCTAGCTTCACTGCATACCGGAATTTCTCGTGGCTCACTCACCTTCTTCGCGAGACAACTCTGCTTCTAGAGCTGGTCCTGCCAGGGATCCAGGGCCTGGTGGGGCGGGATTCGGAGGTGGGGGGGCGAAGCCTGGGCGGGGATGACGCGGGTATAAGGAGTACGATTGCGGATTGGCTGAAGGCGGCTGGGATCGCGGACTGGAAGGAACTGGACGGGAATGGGTAGGGAGGAGGTGAAAGGTGCAGGGCTGAGGGGAGTACTGGGGTAGAGATCAAGGTGCACATGGTTGTGGCCAAGGGATAGATAACCTTATGGGGTGTGTACTCAGGCCTCGATAGGCTGTGAGAACTGGTCAAGGTGGGTAGAGGAGCGGGGCGGGTTAGATCCGCGTGATTGAGGCTTAGCTAAGTGAAGGGGGTGGGGGGTGGGGCGGGACTGAGATGTGGCCCGGGATTGGGTACAAAATTTCGACTCAGGCCACTGATTGGCTGTGTGTGACTTCTGGGGCTGGGGCTGGTTATTTACAGGCGGCTTGTTTAGGAAGAAAGGAAAGCTCTGAGGCCACAGCGTTTAGGCACGTGGAGGATTGTAGTCAGAATAATGTTGGAAGCTGCTGGAGAGAGGGCAATGCTAAAGAGAGTGCAAAAAGATGTATTTATCACCCGTGATGAGGATGAAGAAAAAACAGAAATGAGTTTGATCAGAGAACTGAGAATGAAAGGAGGGATGTGAGACTTTGGACCTGCATACATAACACTTTAAAATGAAGAATGCAAATCGTCAAAGAGAAAAGGAACTCCTTTGGGGAAGGCGATGTTATGGAAAGGAGAGCTGCTGTTAAGAATGGAGTTTTCATCCATTCATGCAAAGGATAATAATTCCGATTATTACGCTAAGTGAAATAAGCCAGCCAGAGAAAGACGAAACACCGTATGATCTCACTCATATGTGGAATTTAATGAACCAAATAAACGGTTGAACAAAATAAAGCCAGAGGCATGGATACATGGAACAGACTGACAGATCTCAGAGGGGAAGGCGGGGGGAGGATTCCAAGAGATGAGCCAAAGAACATATATGCATGTATACACAGCCCATGGACACAGATAATCATGTGGTGAAGGCTGGGGAGGGAGTGGCTGGAGAGGGACAAAGGAGGGGAAAATGGGGGAACATCTGTAATAGTGTAAACAATGAAAAAAAAAGGGAGTTTCATAATTACATTTTCTTCCCTTTCTATTTTAAGAAGTTAAGAGGGTAGGTGGTGTGGGCCTGACAGTAGCATTGTTTTTCATGTCTAGGGGAAAAGAATAAAGATCATCTTTGGTTGAAGAAATTACTGTTCACGTAGCTTAAAGGAGGTTCAGAAGATGGTAAGGTGAATGGAGAAATCATTGTGTACAGTACATAATCTGCTCCTAGATTTTGAGTTGTTTTGAGAGGCATTCATTAGTCAGTAATCTCCAGACAAAAAAACCCACCAGGAGCACACCTGTAGTCAGAAAATTGGGTTTATTTGTCCTTGCAATGAGGGAGAACACACACCTTGTGCAAATTTGAGTCATTTTAATGACAGTATTAGAATGACATAGGATTTGGGTGATTTGGGGGTGGGATTCAAGGAAACGAGATTCAATCTGTTTTGGGTGCTGTCAAGATGTGGGGTACTTATGAGATTGGGTGTCATAATACAGCTTTACGAGGAAGAAGGCAGGAAAATTGCAAGGTGAAGCCTGTAACTCGTAACTTGTAAAAAAAAAGGCAAGTTTATCAGCTGGGAAAGGAGGAAGTTTGGTATTTTTGCAGTTGCAGAATGACCTTGTTTTATCCGTGTTTAGGCAAGATTATGAAGTGATCTTGTCTGTGGTCGCACTCCATCAGGATCACAGTGTGACTTTGTCTTATGCAGGGGTTGTGTCAGGTTGTTATGTTTTATAGGGACACACCATAGATAGTTCCTAACAACACCAGCCATAAGGGTGTCATTCAGCTCCCCATTCCAGCTGCTGCTTTTCTTTTTCTTACATTGAACAAATATGACTTGAGTAGACAGGTGCTGAGGCTTCTGGGGAAAATGAGGCAGAGAAAGTGTGTCTTAAACCTTCCAGGAGGAGAAACAAGAGAGATACAAACTGACTTCAGAAGGTGGTAAGTACCATAAAGAAACAATGAGGGGTAAAAACAGCAGCTAGTTTGTGGAGGATGGTCAGGGAAGGCTTATTGCTTTTTGGGGTGTTTTTGGAGGAGCTAATATTTAAACCCAGAATTGAATGATGAAGAATCAGGCTTGCAAAAAATGATTCTGGAAAGGGAAAGAGCAGCTGAAAAAGGCCCTTAAATGGGAGCAAACTTGGCATGTTTATGTAATAAGTAATAAGAGACCACTGTGTGTAAAATGTAGTGGTGCAGGGGAAAGTGCTTCCAGATTAGGGTGGAGAGGAAGGCAGGGCCAGGCCATGCAGAGCAGAGGAGACCGCAGAAAGGAGTTCGGATTTTATTCTGAAGCAGCCATTGGAAAATCTTGGGCAGAGGAATTTAAAAACGATAGTCTAGCTGCCTTGGAGGTGCGACTTGTGGGTTGGCAAGAGCAGGAGCAAGAAGATCTGTTAGGAGTTTGTTAGAGCAAGAGATGAGGTTGGTGACTCAGGTACTGGCAGCGGAGGGAAAGAGGGCTAAAGAGCTCAACATTCTTTATGGTGACATGCACTTATTTCCTTGATTTCAGCACTTCCCCTTCTGCTATCAACTACCTGGTGTCCACTGAGAAATAATAATTGACTAGGTGTTTTGTCACCAAAAAGGACTTATTCTGGAAAAAGAGAGGGTTGCAGCCCGTTGGACTGAGTGCCAAGATGCAGTGCAGGGGTATTTTAAAAAAGGGAAAGGAAGTTAAAGGCAGAGAAAGTTAGAACCACAGAGGTTTACTAGAAACATAGAGTTTTTTTCTCTAGGGTTCTCACGTGTGTGGTTCTTCCCAATACAGTACTGTGTGAGAACTTCCTTAAGTTCTAGTTCTTCCCAGAGACCCTCCCGACTGATGACGTTTGCTCAGAGTTCCAGTTTGTCTTTACCACTAGCTTCTCCTGAATTCAGACAGTCTGTTTACTCTCTCCAGAGTATACCAGTGAACTGCTGATGTGCTCAGGTGAGGATGGACCTATTGGTGGGGCTACAGCAGACCAGGGGTGGAGACCTGGGGATCTGCTTGTTTCTTAGAAAGGCCTTTAAATGATTCTTCTGTATTTACTCCTGAACCTTTGGAGCGTTCTATGGGAGTAAACTGAGTTGGCTTTTTGGCTTTCTTCATGATTGGTCTAGGATTCAGCTTGTTTAAATCTGCTGTCAAGTATCGCCTGCCCATTTGCTTTATAAGTTCTGTAATTTTGTTGCCACTGTTATTTCACTTACTGTTTTTGTTCTCCTGGGGCTTAAAAGATCTCCTTACTGTTATACTAGTGGGTCTTAAGTAGAGAGAGAATGTAAACGTGTTTAATTTGCCATCTCTTGTTGTTATTGGTTTACACACATGTTCATTAAATGATGGAATGACCAAATGCTGGGCATCTGCATGCTTTGTTCATGTGCTAAGCCTTGTGTTATCTTTATACTCATGTTGGTGTTTGATGAGAAATATAAGTGACTCCCTAGAGTTAATAGCTAATAAATGCGTTTTCCTTATATCTTCTCCTGATTTCTATTCTGAATAAAAAGAAAATACTTTCTTTTTATCAGTAAGATAAAAGACTTTATCTTACAGATAGATAAAGCCTTTTCCATTGCCTCATATAAAATACTAAAAAGTATTCTGAAATATAGCAGAGAGAGGACAGTATAGGATAGTGGGTAAGCCAAACTGTCTGGTTCAAATCCCAGCTCTGCAATTTTCTAGCTGAGTGACTTTGTGCCAGCTACTTCATTTATCTGTGCTTCAGTTTCCTCATCTGTAAAACGTGGATACTAGAACCTTGCTTATGCTGCTATTGGTTGATTTCATAGACTTGGAAAAATTTAGAGCTGTACTTGCTTCTTAGTAAGCACTAAAAAATTGTTTTTTAAGAAAAAGGAAAAGAATCTTAAGAAGGGAGACTGGTTATTCTCCAATATTTAGTATTCTCTTGTCTAATAATAATAGACCTTCCAAACTTCATCAGAGTACATGGGCGTTTGGTAGAAAGACTGCATTTCCAGCCTCTCTTGAAGCTTGGTCGGCCGTAAGATTAAATTCTGGCCCATAGAACATACGTGGAAGCTGGATATGCCGCGTGCAGGATATATCTTGAAGGGGTACAGTATGTCTTTATCAGTTCCTGGGTTTGCGGTTTCCCCACCAGTCCGCGTGCAGACACGATGGCTGCCGCCGCCTTGGACCACTAGAATCCGCTAACTGAAGATGGCAGAGCAGCCACCACTCCAGCCCTGGACTGTACTTACATGAGGGGGAAATCAGTTTGTTTTAACTTATTTATATGTTGTTGTTTTTTTGATACGTGGTCATGGTATGGCTGTGGCAGTTTAGTGACTCTTTTAGTTTGCTTAGCACAGGCATCCCACTTTACTTTTACGGGGGCCTTCCAGGTGACAATAGACGAGTGACAGGGAGGAGATGAAGGTGGAAGATGTTGGCAGTGCCTCATCCTCTGGAAATGCCTCTCAGGAGGTGGCTGTCACTTCTGGGTACTAAGAATGTGAAAATTTGGCAGGCAGGACATTTTTACTTTGTCTTATAACCCTAGCGCTGTACTAAGAAATACCTACTCTAGGAAAAAAGGGAATTCAGTCTGGGTTTGAAGTTCCTAAAGCCTTTCCCACCTTACATTCCTGCTGTAAAGAGTTATATTCTTGAAAGTTGCTGAGACTAGATCTCAGGCATTCTCATTACCCCCACACACAAGTTAACTGTTATCTGTGTGAGGTGATGCTTGTGGTAATTATGTTGATCTTGGAAGTCATTCTACAGTTTATATGTGTATAAAATCATCACATTGTACACTTTAAGTATGTACAGTTATATTTGTCAAGAGTTATATCCAGTTTTCAGCCCCATGTAGCTATTTTAAATACAAGATTTATGTTTGTATGTATTATTAAAGTACATGCTTTTCAGCCAGATACTAATAGCTGTACAAACATTAGTTTAAATATTTAAAAAATCATAATGGAAATTGTATAGGAATTACAACTTCTATTGTAATAGGAATTACAATAGGAAGGCTGCCCAGGGTGACTATGTATCTGTTTATCTCTGTGTGTGCTGCCTGCCTGTCTGTCCACATGCACATTTATATGCTGCATTTATGGCAGTTTAATCTTAGCACTGGTTACCTGAGTCACTAAGAAATTTTTTCATAGTCTCTGAACAATTTTTAAAAAGAGGAAATGAATTTTGACATTACAAATCAAATTGGTAGGAAAAAAAATTCTTCAAAACATCAGGTCCACGTGTAGGATATAATAATAAAAATTGGCCTTGTGGAAACTCTGGCAAGTATTGTGTCCTTCAAGACGTGGACCAAGTGTGTGTGGCTTCTGGCTAATGGTATCAGAAAATATCACTACATAAGTGAGTATCACTCTGCTAGAGCCTGGTAGGCATCGCTCTTCTGAGGAAGGTTTTATGTTTCCTTTCTCAGTCTGGCTTTGCCTCTGGAGTTCCTGATTTGCATTCATGTTGGAGTTCTTAAGCTCTTGGAGGCTCTTACAGGTTCTATGCAGGTTCTCAGCTCCTGGAGGGTTTCAGTGGGGACTGCCCCTTGCTCCCTCTATCTGTCATGGTGTGCAATGCCCCCTGGCACCGCTACTGGTCAGTACTATGTGCTTTATGTCAGGTGGCTCCTCTGAGCGATGGTAGGAATATAAATCAACAGTAGGTTCTCTAGGTTTGTAAAGAAGGGGTAATGATGAAATCAGTTTTGGAGAGGGAGAGGAGGAGTATTCTACTCTAAATAGTACAGAAATTTAAATAACTATAAAATTTCTGTAGTATTCAATAGGATATTAAATAATCAAATGTTAAACTTTCAGGGAGAAGCATCAGGAATGGTGCTGGGATGATACACTGTTCATGTAAGATGTTCATTCGTATGTTTAAAAATACTTATTTATGGTTTACCATGTGCCCTGAACCCTTCTAGCTGAGTCTGCGATGAACAAAATAGACAATGTTCCTGCCCAGATGGAGTTCAGAGTGTAGTGGGGGAGACAGGCAATGAATCAGAACAAACTTTGATGATAAAATGTAGTGATAAAATACTGTGAAGAGAAATAAAAATATTGGCCACTAGATGGAGCTCATTGCTCTCTTCTTTCACTTACCAGTCCACTCTAAAAGAGAGATGCTGTGAGCATGTTACACCATTGAAGTGTTTTGGGGGCCAGGTGGTGGGTGCTCTTTCTCTTCCGATCTCCCCCTCCCAACTTAATTTCTTTTCTTTTCTTTTTTAACTAACTGTCTGCTAAGGGGAATATGGTTAAAAACATACTAAGGAGGCCTCTGAGATATCTTGGGGTAAGGGGAGTAGATCAACTCCTTCCAAATCAGAAATCCTCTCCCCTCAATTTCTTGGGAATTTAGTTTTCTGTACTTATTTGTTTAATCTCTGAATTCACCGTAGAATATTTCCTTAAGAGAGGGACTACAACTATGTTCTCACTCCTTGGGAGAGTATGTAGTAGATCCTCAATGAATATTTTTTGAATGAATGATCCTTATAGCCTAAGCAATTACTGCTTTTCCCACAGGGTCATCTAATTCTCTAGGGACTCTGTTTTGAAGTTAGGTGGGAAAAAAATCGCAATAAAAACTGGGTAAGTTTGACTGTCTTGCGTTCTATGAAATCCTGTCTGTCAAAGAACTCTCGGTGGGACAGGTGGGATGTGCTTGTGTGTATGTGTGTTTGTGTGTGTGTATGTGTGTGTGTGTGTAGTAGGTATATTATGTAGCACTCTGAGTTCTGGGCCATATTTTTTCCTCTTTCTATTTAGATAAAAGTCTAACACACATAATGGACATATTTTTAGTGCTCAGTGGAACTTAATGAATATTGGGCACATGCTTTGTTAGGGCTAACTCTATAAAGAAGGTTCTTAAATCTTCTCTTCTACAACGAGTAAAAGGAACATCATAAAAACTGCAAGGGAGTTGGAATTTAAGGAGATTCATGATGGGTCATGTTTGAATCCACAATCTCTTGGTCTTAGAATGGTTTCCAGCGCAGAGATCCTGTGCATGTGTTGTTAGATTTCTATCTATTTCATTTTTTAAAAAACAACCATTGTAAGTGATATTGTTTTTTTAAATGTTGGTTTCCAATTGGTCATTTCTTTTATATAGAAATACAGTTGAAAATTGTTTTTTTTGTGTTACAACCTTGTCTTTTGTCTTACAACCTTGTTAAACTCACTCATTTGTTCCAAGAGGTTTTATTTTTCATTTTTAGATTCCTTGATATTTTTCCTATATGGATAATCATAATGCCTGCGAATAAAGACAGCTTTATTTTATCTTTTCTGATCTATATGCCTTTATCCCTTTTTCTCCCATATTGTACTAACCCTTTTAGTATAATGTTTAACTGGACTGGAGAGACTAGACATTCTTGCTTTGTTCCTGAGTTAAGGGCAAAGCATTCAGTTTTTCATCACTAAATACGTTAGGTGAAGGGTTTTTTGTAGATTCTTTTTAATCAGCTTAAAGAAAGGTCACTTTTTCTCAAGTGCAGTTGTTGCGGAAAAAATTACTCACACGCGGGGAGATGGCGAAGCACGATCCTTTATTACGCACGGGCTCAGAGGGGTTAACCACACAAATTCTCTGAGCAAAGAGTTTAAGCTGGAGTTTCCTATAAATACTTGCTACAAGGCAAAAAGGGAGGGGGGAAGCAATTGCTAAAGCAAGCATACAGAAGCAGAAGTGAAGGTTAATGCTTTGGCCTTGAGATAACAAGCCATTATCCTAGGAAAGGCCACTGGCCAGCTCCTACCTAAAAATAGCTTTTGTTCAGCTACGTCCTGTCACATCAAAACAAAAGGCATTGTGAAATTTTGCAGGTGTTACAGAGAGCACTGCTTATCAAAGAAGCTGCAGAGCATAGAAGCTTTTTATGGGGTTTTCTTTTCCTGCCACATAGCGACATTTTTCCAAATTCTAAAACTGCTTGAGTTATGCCTTCGGCAAAGAGTGAACAGGAAAGCTCTATTCCTTAAGTCTTTAGCTTATGATACATCTCTTCCTTCTCATGTCATTCTGGAGATACTGTATTTCTTTATGAAGTTTTTCACTCTCCTGTTTGAATCCTTCATTCAGAAACCGGGCTTGTTCCTAAAAAGGACAAATCATGAATAAAGTGTAGCAGTAAGTAAATCCCTAACTTCTATCTATTTTCCACATTCACAGAATTTTTTTTAGAATTTAATTTCTTCTTGAACTTTTCTCCATTAATTTTTTATTATACTTTCTCTTGGGCATCCTAGCCTCATGATTACTTTTTTCTGAGCCTCCTTTAGCTAAGAAAGATTTTTTGGCTTATACTTTCTGATATATTGATAAGCTTCAAATTACAAGTCTTGGTCTTTTATCCCATTAATTCTATACATTTGTGGGCAATCTTAATCATATGTTTGTTTTCAAATCTTACCCTATGCATTAAACACTTTTATACACACATACACAGGGAGACTTTTATATACACACATATAATACACACAAATTCTTAAAATCAAATGGAGTGTCTGAATTTTAGATCAGTGAATTGGATTTAGGCCTCACAGACTGGGGGCAAAGGTAGCAGAATATAAATAAGGGAATCCAGGCCGGAAACTGTCCATATGGGCTTCCTGCACATCGCTCATCACACAGACTGGGAGTAGGGCCGAGGAAAGAGTCAGGAGTGACAGACTGATGCCAGTGTGAGAGTTCAGGAGTCTTTCTGCTCACAGCTTCTCTTAGAATTAAAGTCATACCACATGTGACAGAAAAACAGTCATTGTGGATTCCTTCGAATGGTGAAGGGGATTTGAATATCTTACCAAGCTGTGTGACCCTATAAAAGTTATTTACTCCTTTCTGAACCCCTATTTCTTCTCCTAAGTCATGGGATAGAGTTCTTGCTTCATATAATATTAAAGAAAAAGATACAGATAAGACATTTTTTATAATGCCTAGCAGATAATAGCTACCATTGATTGAAGACTATACTGATAAATGACTAGACGTGATATAAATTCAAATACAATTTTTAATAACCAGACATAGGCAGGCCCAGGACAGGCAGACAGATAGGATTGAAAAATATAAGTGGGTAAGAAAGGTCCTTCTAGGGCTTCATGGTCTAACAGCCACTCAAAGAGATCAGGGAGAGTGGAGAGAAAACAAGAAGAGAAACCTCGAGGTGAAGCAATTCAATACCTGAAGTTTAAGATTGAGAACTCTGTCTCGTTCTGCCATTAACTGGGCCTTCTCCTTGTCCGCCTTCTCAGTCACTTGTTTGCAGAATCTCCTCATACCTCTTTTCTTTCTGCTCCATCATCTGCTGATTCTTTATCTGCATCTCCTCCAACATTTTTTTTGCAGCCTCTGCAGATTCAGCTTTCATACGTTGCTCTGTCAGGAGGAAAGGAAGAAAAAAAGCTCATGGGTGACCATGTTGCTTTTTTTTCTCTGCACACTTACCTGTTGCTGTTGCTCCTGGCTGCATCTGCCATAGTCAGAGCTCACTTCAGCTAGTGAGAGGCATCTTTGCTCATTTCACTATTGTTTAAAGACCCCAGGTTCACCCAGCCAAATTATTTGAAATTTTAAAAGCTTTCGAGGCTATCTAGTCTCTTGCTCCTCACCTTCAATCTCCTTTTCCTTCTCTGTGAGAGTCTGGTCTATCTGTAGAATTGTTTCAGTCACAGCCTCCTTGGACTCCAAGTATGTCCGAAGAATTTCCTCACTCTAAGACCCAAAGAAAATGGAGCTAGTAATAGGAAATATCTGTAAGCACCTATTCCTATTTGCCTACCATCTTTTCCTCTGGGAATTGCTTCCCTTGGCCCTGGTGTGTCTGGTGGTCATGATGCACATGCTCCAGGTTGCCCAAGCATTGTACTCTACAAAGCAGATTCCTTTTTAAGAGACTGATAAATATGGATGGAGAGTCTCTGTTCTTTGAGTGAGGGCTCTAATTTTGGAGCTGTTAGTGCTGTGGTCCAATATGGGGTGAGCTTGCTGGGGAATGAACCCACTGTGGAGAAAGCAGATCTAAGAAAAGGAGGTGGAGGGGGAGTGGAGGGAGGGAAGTGTGGGGTTGAGGGGAGCAACAGACAGAGAGATAAGTGTTGGTTACCTGTATTCCCTTCCTGGGTTCCTGACGGTATTGTTTTTCTAGCTCCTGCCTCTTCCGGATAAAAAGATGATATCCTCCTGGTTTAGAATAAATCCCCTGTTTTATATCTTCTTCCAGAGGATTGAAGATATCCTTAAGTAAAGCTGAGCAACGATCTGATGATGCTTTCATATTCTGTGTACAAATGTCTTCTTCCTTTTTTTCTAGCTGGGCCTTTAATGTGAAAGTAGGAAGTAGAAATAATGGAGAGAAGATGTTAGCTTGACCTCAGAATTTTTGGAAAAGCTTCTCAAAAAATAAAGTCTGTGCCCCCTATGAAACTCACAGGACCACATCCTCTTGATCTTGTGTTTCTAGTGAAGTTCCTTTCTCCCTGGAGGTAAAGTTTATGGCAGAGATTGCTATCCTTATGTTAGCATTTATGCTATGCATCTGCTGATCAACATGGGCCATGGCCTTTTGCACTGCATCTGCATTCTTCATCTGCGCCAAGGCCAGGACCCCATCCTGCAGGGCAAATTCCCACAGCTGATGGTATTGACATAGGTCAGCACTAGGCTCTGTAGTCCTACAAATACACCTTTAGAAATAAACTTCTGCTTTTCAAATTGGACCAATGATTGCATATGGAAGAAATGTGGCTCAATATAAGCCTGCTTAAGATAACTAAGACTACATATTCCTTTGCTTTTGGCTATAACATTAAATCAGTCTGATATCAGCAAGTATGTAATTTGATTAGGGAGCTCTGATTGTTACCTCTATGCACTTAATTAAAGTTTAGAGAAAAGAATATCAGTTTTTGAATGAAAAAAAGTTTCAAAACTTTGAGTCAATCATAATAAAATTGGTTCTTGTCATAATAATAACAATAGTGGTTCTTATCATTTTAAAGTCTAGTGAAAAATTCCGTCTCATAACAATATACCCATTTGTATTTTCTACTAATATTTCACTTTCTGAGATCCTAATCCATATAAATATAATGAAAAAAATTTACCACTAATTCCATTTTGGAATAAATGGTCCACATCCTTGAATGAGTTCTTCATGAAGACTTTAATGGCCTCTTTCTCACTGGCCCTGTGCAGGGTCCAGCAGCTCCTGGAGCGGTTTCTGTGGGCAGCTGCACCTTCTGGGCCATCTGCTCATCATAGAGGGCAATGGCCTTTTTCACTGCGGCTGAGTTTTCTATCTGGGCCAAGGCCAGGACCGCGTTCTCCATGCAGGGCAGACCCCCACTGCTGATGGCATTGATGTAGGTCAGCACCAGATTCTCCAGTCCTGCAAAAGAGAACAAATGATAATGTTGACTGTAGTTGGGGTGAGGAATCAGTCTCTTCTGTGTAAATCTGATGATAATCTTTTGCCACTTGTTTGCTTCATAGCATCAGTGACCTCAGTATCACCTGGAAGCTTGTTAGAAATGCCTACTCTCAGCCTCTGCCCCAGATCAACTGAATTAGACCCTCCTCTGGCAAGATCCTTGTGTGATATGAATACATATCAAAGGGTGAGAACCTCTGTTCTGGATACTATAGATGTGTGTTTATTGAGTACATGTACTTTATCGCCAAGCACCATTAGGACAGGAAATGTACCTCTCTCATTTATGTCCCTATCATCAGTCCTGGTCCGTGGCAAGCAATTGTAAAATTGTTATTTGTGAAACAATTAAAAAGGAGTCCTTTCATGTTATTTATTCTAATAGAACACTGTCCAAGAGAACTTTCTGTGATGATGGGTGTGTTCTATACGTGCTGTCCAATAGTGGAGGCACTAGCCCTTTGTAGGTATGAGCCCTTGAAAATAGCTGTGTAATCAGAACTTCTAATTTTCTTTAACTTTTAAATTAATCTACATTTAAATTTAGATAGCCATATTTGTCCATTAGCTACCTTAGTGCAGGTAGCTAAGGATAGTACAGGTCCAGTTTACTAGGGCAATTTTAAGCAATAGATCTTCTTTTCTTTGTCCTTTCCTATCTTTTTCTCACCCAAGAAATTTGACTAATAAAATCTATTAGAAATGTTGTGTCATCTAGAATGTACCACAGAAGTAGTAGTAGATTTGCATTTTTCACAGATGACACTAGGTGGATGTTATTTTCACCTTCCTTTGGTCCTAACAGTGAGAGTAAAGACTAGGGAAGAGGACTCACGAGGTCCATTGACCTTGATGCCTCCTGGAAGTGTTTTAACTTTGGAACTGTTGAAGATGTAGGAGCAGAAGACTGTAGCTTTTTGCACGAAGTCGGAGTCTAGCTCATCATCATGTAGGGTCTCAAGCTGGCCTAGATTCTTCCCGTGAGTGGGCCGATCAAAAAGTAAAGCATTTCTTCTGTGGGAAGAACTTCCGGATACAGAGTCGAGGAAAATTAAAATCTTTATCCTTTTGATCGTCAACTGGAAAAAGGACAAAAAAGGACTTTGCTTAATATAGGGGTCTTGGGAACTTTATCTATAAAGGACCAAACAGTAAATATATCAAGCTTTGAAAGTCAGAAGGTCTGTTTTCCAAGTACTTAATTTGGCTATTAGAGCATGAAAGCAGCCATAGATAATCTACAAATGAATGGGCATAGCATTAATCCAATAAAACTCACTTATGAGACAGCTGGAAGGCTGTATTATCCATCATTTGCCTGTGGCCATAGTTTGCCAACCACTGGACTAGTTCACTGTTATGCTTTAATCTGTTTTCTCTTTTTTTAGTATATTTTACTGATTATGCTATTAGAGTTGTCCCATTTTATTCCTCCCCTTTATCTCCCTCTGCTCTGCACCCTCTCCCTGTACCCCCTCCTTCTAGCATCCCCTCCCCCTTAGTTTATGTCCATGGGTCATCCATATAAGTTCTTTGGCTTCTCCATTTCCCATACTATTATTAACCTCCCCCTGTCTATTTTGTACCTACCATTTATGCTTCTTATTCCCTGTACCTTTCCCCCCATTCTCTCCCCCATCCCCCTCCCCACTGATAACCCTCCATGTGATCTCCATTTCTGTGATTCTGTTCCTGTTCTAGTTGTTTGCTTAGTTTGTTTTTTGTTTTTAGGTTCAGTTCTTGATAGTTGTGAGTTTTTTGTCATTTTACAGTTCATAGTTTTGATATTCTTTTTCTTAGATGAGTCCCTTTAACATTTTATATAATAGGGCTTGGTGATGATGAACTCCTTTAACTTGACCTTATCTGGGAAGCACTTTATCTGCCCTTCCATTTTAAATGGTAGATTTGGTGGATAGAGTAATCTTGGATGTAGGTCCTTGCCTTTCATGACTTCAAATACTTCTTTCCAGCCCATTCTTGTCTGTAAGGTCTCTTGTGAGAAATCAGCTGACAGTCTGATGGGAACTCCTTTGTGGATAACTGTCTCCTTATCTCTTGCTGCTTCTAGGATTCTCTCCTTATCCTTAATCTTGGGTAATTTAATTGTGATGTGTCTTGGTATGTTTCTCCTTGGATCCAACTTCTTTTGAACTCTCTGAGCTTACTGGACTTGCATGTCTAGTTCCTTCGCCAGATTGGGGAAGTTTTGCTTCATTAATTTTTCAAAAAAGTTTTCAATTTCTTTTTCTTCCTCTTCTCCTTCTGGCATCCATATGATTCAGATGTTGAAACAATTTAAAGTTGTCCCAGAGGTTCCTAAGCCTGTCCTCATTTTTTTGAATTCTTGTTTCTTCGTTCTGTTCTGGTTGAATGTTTATTTCTTCTTTCTGCTCCAAATTGTTGATTTGAATTCAGTTTCCTTCCCTTCACTGTTGATTCCTGACATATTTTGCTTTATTTCACTTTGTATAGCCTTCACTTCTTCCTTTATTTTGTGGCTGTACTCAGTCATTTCTGCAAATATCCTAATTACCAGTGTTTTGAACTCTGCATCTGATAGGTTGGCTGTCTTTTCATTGCTTAGTTGTTTTTCTGAAGTTTTGATCTATTCTTTTATTTGGGCCATATTTCTTTGTCTCTGTGCACCTGTTACATTGTAAAGGGGCAGAATCTTAGGTATTCACCAGGGCCAGGCAACCTTCTTTGCTGCATTGCGGAGCTGTCTGTGGGGAAAGGGTCAGAGAAGGAATAATGTTGCTTGCTTGGCTCTCACCCTGCTTTCAGTCACTTTCCTCGATTTCCACAAACAGATTGGGCCCTTTCAGGTGCTGATCATTGGGTGGGTGGGCTTGTGTACATTCTAGGATCCTGTGGGCCCCTCAAATGGACCCCCCTTGAGATTAACAGTTTCTCCCACCATTGGAACTCCCATAGGTTTTTACAGTCAGAGGTTTTGAGGCTTATAGTTTCTGACCCTGGAACCATGGGTTGTGTGGTCTGTCTCACTCCCCAGTTGTTTCTCCTGGCTTATCTGCACGTGTATGTGGGATATCATGGTCCACCAGCTGCTGCTTTGCAGCACGTCCTCTCTGCTGGGTGCTCATCTCTGCCCCTCCTACCAGTCTGGATGAATACTTCTTTAACTCCTTGGTTGTTGGACTTCCATACAGTTCAATTTTCTGGCAGTTCTGGTTGTTTTCTGTTTTTAAATTGGTTGTTTATCCTTCTTTTGGTTGTGCAAGGAAGTGAAGTGTATCTATCCCTCCATCTTGGCCTAATCTATTTTCTTTAAATAAATGCCCACTCTTCTTCATATTCATTGGCTAATTACAGCATCACAAGCCCTAAGCAGGGACATAAAATTCATTGTATCATAGCACAGGGAGAGCTGAAAAAAAGCGAAGCTTATTCTTAGAATGAGAAAAAAGACAATTCAATGTCAAATCTACTAATTCAGGTACTAAACAAGCAGGCATTAATTTTTTAGTAATATACAGCTGAGGAGAAGTAGAAAACTATAAATATTGGAAAACTAAGTAGAAAAAAAATTTTAAAAAGTGGTAGTTGCTAGTGTCTTGTCCTTCCCAATAACCAATTCTAAGTCCCCTTCACCTTTCCTAAGTTTGAGTGAATTCTCCAGGTACTCATCCGCTGTGATGCGTTGTCCATTTGCTTCCAAGTCTAGGGAAAAGTCCCTCAGTGTCCACACAAAATCTGGAAAGAAGCGTATGAAGTCAGCAGAATCCTCAATCTCATTTGCACCAGGTGAAGATTTTGCCCGTATTCGATCTGTCATTTCTGTCACATAGCTGAGTAGCAAACTAAGGAAAACTGGTGTAAAAGAACAGTGCCCCTCATCCCACATTAGTCCCACATATTCAAAACCTTTGTTTCTAACCCAAGAGTCAATTCTTCAGTAGGCAATTAGGATCTTTCTTTTGCCCTTGAATTATTTTTTTACATTTTCTCTTTTTGTGCTTGATTCACCAGGATTCACATTCACATAGCTTGTTTTTTTAACAGGTCTCCCTCTGATTTTGATGCCGTTCTTGACCACAAAAAGGATACTGCAGCTGGTCCATGGCCTGCTGGTTGATGGTCCCCATGCTGTTGTACACAAAGGTGCTGCTCAGCAGTATTGCGAGAGCAAAGATCCAGGAGTCGTTTTGGTTGTCACCCTGGAAATCAGAACACGTTTGGGCCAGGATTATGTTTCATTCTCATGGCACTTTCCAGATCAGCAGTAGTAAAAGGATGCTCATTTAATGAGTGTTTGTCTGTGTGTTTTTTTTAGATTAATGACCTATAAGAGGAAACCAAATCCAAATGAAAATGATTGTTAATAGGACTTGGACTTTGAATAGTTTTCTGATTACTGATTTTGGTGTACACTGATTCTCACTAGATCCTCTTATGATCATTGGCAGATAATTGTGAAACAAATAGTCAAGCTTAGTAGACATTCTAGGCCTTAAGTGTAAATTTTTATTGAATTTTCTCTCTTTTACAGCAATATTGACATATAATAGCAATAATATGTATAGTTATTTTATTGAACAATTATTATGTACCTAACACTTTCCATTCTTATTAAATATTCAAATATTCCAAACAATATTATGAGGCAAATATAGATTATTTATCTGTTTTATAAATGAGAAAGCTGAGGTTAAAAGAGGTAAAATAATTTGTTAAGGCAACTGTGTTAATGACAGAGTTTAAGTTTAAACAGTATAGGACTTTTTGAACATAAATCTTTAACTAAAGCTCTCTGCAGTATAAGAGTCATGGCATTGATTTTTTTATACTGCCTGTATACATCTGGGTTAACTGGCTTAGCTTATAGCCTGTTGTTAGTAACTAGACCACTATCTATTGACGACTATGTGCTTCTTCTGGGATTCTGCCTTATGAATATTTTTCTGACCTCTGATTGTAAAACTTAGTCTCATAAAACATAAGCAGAAATGAAAAAAGCATAGTTTGGTTCAGTGCAAGCTCTTATTTGAAGAAAAGTTAAATAGTGTAGAGGATATCCAAATATGAGGGGCTTGTCCCCAAACTGAATCTTCAATACTTACCTTCTCTACATCTCCCAGGCCCTCAGTGTCAAGCAGCACGAGGGTGTGGTCTGCCTTTTCAGGATGAGGCATACACCACATCCAGATTCCCTTGGTGTGAGACTGCACCGTGGAGCCCAGAGAGAAGCCTGCCTCGGGGAGAGGAGGTGAGAGGGAGTGGAGTTTTAATAGCAGATGTGTCTTGAAACTGAGATAAGAGTTAACATATTCAAGGAGAGAGAACCAAAACCACAACCAGTATTAATCTGAATCTTACTTACAATTAGAGAAATAGGGAAAAATTGAATATCCATTACATGAAAACATTCAATACCTTTTTATGATTAAAAAAACAAACAAACCCAGGACTAGAAGGAAACTAACTCAACATAGTAAAGGCTATGCATGAGAAACGTTCAGCCAACATCGCAGTCAATGGTGAAATACAGAAAGCTTTCCTTCTATAAAAAATTAACCAAAGTAGTTCAAGGAGCTACATGTAAGAGCTAAAACTATAAAACTCCTAGAAGAAAAAAAAATATGGGAAAAGCTTCATGATACTGGATTTGCCAATGATTTCTTGGATATGACAGCAAAAGCATAAACAACAAAAAGAAAGTAGGTAAGTTGGACTTCAAGATTAAAACTTTTGTGGATCAACAGAGTTTAATATTTATCCTACAGAGTAAGGAAAAATGTTTTTCACTTATGAATCCATTAAGGGATTGATATCGAGAATACACAAGTAAGCAAAATATAACCAGAAACATTGAATTAAAGAACAAACTGACAATAACCAGAGGGGAGAGGGGAAAGCGATAATGGGGGAAAAGAGGGGAAGGCCCATCAAGGAGCATGTACACAGGCCACGTGGACAAAGCCAAAGGGGGTAGGTTTGAGGGTGGGAGGCAGGGATGGGTGGGGGGGGGGGGCCGAGGTGGACAACCATACTCGAACAACAATGAAAAGAGAAAAAAAGAATAATAACAACACTAAATTAAACACAAAAAGAAATCCTACAGTGCAACCCCAGAAAACAAACAACCCAATTAAAATTTTTCACAATTAAAAAATGAGGAAAGGACTTGAATAAAAATTTCTTAAAAGAAAAAATACTAATAATCAATGAACACATAAAAAGTTGATTAGCATCACTAGCCATTAGGGAAATACAAATCAAAACCACAATGACATACTATTTCACACCCATTAGGATGACCAATATCAAAAAACAAAATAACAGGTATTGGCGAGAATGTGGAGAAATTAGAATTCTGTGCATTTCTGGGAGAAGTGTAAGATGCTGTAATTGCTGTGGAAAATGATATGGTGATTTCTTTAAAAATTTAAAGCATATACTTCCAGGAAAAGAATAAAAATTTATGCTTTTAAAAAAGAGAAATTAAGACAAAGTGAGAAGAGACAGTGAGTTGACTCAGATTCAGATAAGAGCAGAACTATAGATTGAAAGTTAGCTTTCAGTATTCCTCCCATCTCCAACTTTCTCTCCTTGCAACACCATACTCAGTGCTGGGAGTGTGTGTGGACAGAGGGATCTGGAAGAGCTGCTCTGGTGTCACTCACCCTTGGTCTTCC